TGTTTTGTGAGGTGGAGGACTTTGTGGACTGGTGTTGGGTATGGGTTAATGTTGGACTTGTGGGCTTGGGCAGCACCAGGTTGGGATGTTTTCTTGATGCACACTTTCTTTACATAAAACTCTTTGAGTTTCTGTGTATTTATTTCTCTAAAGTACCTAGACTAATACAATGCTCATTACTCCTCTTTCCCATTTCCACACCTAAAGAGGGAGAAAAGAGTAGAACAGAGCATTTCAGAACAGCCTCCATACTTTTCAGCTCAGCTTTTACTATCTCCTCCTTCTGCTTTCTTGATGTAGTTCTAGACAGCTAAGAAGTTTACTGAAGGGGATAAATGAGATATACAACATCAAGAACAGGACATTTCCCAGGAAGTGTAGTGAAGCCAGACATATCTACCTCTGACAATATGGAAAAAGAAATGGTGACATTCACTACTAAGTGATCCAGAATAAAAAGTGTCTCACAGGCTGAAACAACTGTGTATGATGAGATGTTAAAACTCAGCTATTTCTCTACGAGATGGTAATGTTACTTGCCGTTGCTACTTGTTTCACACAACTTCGTTTTCTTGTCCTCATGGTAGTCTTCATCTTCGGATTCAGAAGTTATCACCATGCCACTGAATAAATTAAGAGTGAAAAAATGAGAACTATGGATGAAACATTGTTCTTTCCATGGCATTTTCTACCTTTCCAACAATGAACCTGATAAATTATTCATTTTGTTTGTTTGTTTTCTTCAGTCACCACTCTGTTTCCCTTCTTTGGAACTATTGAATCTTATCATCATTATTGACTTTTCTATCGTTTCCAATATTCTAGCAAATCTTTCCAGGACATCCTTTCATCTGCATGCTTTCAGAAGGAGGTGTCTGTCAAGTCCTGAGAGTGTGATGAGCCCTGTCAGAGAGTGTCTACATCCCAATAGTTTAGGGTCAGGAGGAAATAGATGAGGGAAATGTCTAGCTCATTGTCATTTTTCTTGACCAATTCTGAGATCCAATTGTCTGAGAAGGAAGGTTGAAGAAAGATAAAACCGTCTTAGAGCAGGAGGTTTTCTCCTCAGCAAAACTCTACAACTTAAAGGTAATACAACTACTATTTAAATGACAGACTACTCTGGCTGAAGACCAGCTAGGGTGTTGATGATAAAGTCTCCCGTGGAACACGCATTCTCAGCAGTCTATCAGGGTTGGAATTCATTACCTTTCTGTATTTTCCAAACAGTGTAAAAGAACTGCAATAAATACATAGGGGCATTGACAGGGAAAAGCTGTTAAGCCAATCTTTCAAGAATCAATTATAAAAAAAAAAAAAAAAGAATCAATTATCCAGTAGAATAGCAAACGCACAAAGAGCAAGAGACAAAATGAATAAGTGGCACCTCATAAACATGAAAAACTTTTGCTCATCAAAAGACTTTATCAGAGGCACTGTAAAATGGTATAACCATTGTAGAAAGCAGTATAGTGCTGCCTCTAAAAGTTGGGAATAGAAATACTGTATGACCTATCAATGTCTCTACTTGGCAAATCTCTCTAGGGAAATGATAGCTGTTAAAATGGTTACATCCAAAAAAAAAAATGGTTACATCCATGTTCATTGCAGCACGATTCACAATAGCAAAAAAACAGAAACAACCTAAATGGTCACCCATGAAAGAATGGGTAAATAAACTTCAGTACATGCACACATGCAATGGAATATTGGATGTTAAAGAATGATGATGAATCTGTGAAACACCTGATAACATGGATGAATCTAGAAGACAGTATGTTGAGTGAAATTAGTCAGTCACAAAAAACAAATATTACATGAGATATTATAAAAAGTTTTTTAAAAGTTTTCACACTAAAAGAAACATTCTTTCTTTAACGGTTATCAGGGCTGGGATGGGAAGAGAGGGAGGGAGTCACAAGCTGGAGGGCAGACCACTGTTGACTTGGGTGAAAGGGAAGGCAAAACTCATTAAGAGGGAGGTTAGGGGCAATGATCGAAGTAGTGGAAGACACTGGGAAGTTTACAAGAGTTGAAGGCTTCTCTGACCTTTTAAATATTGATGGTGGTCTTTTCTTTATGATGCTTCATTCATATATTTATCTTTTTATTATTGTTATGATTTTCTTCTTGTCATTTTGTTTTAGTTTCTTAGTGTTTCTGTTGGGTTTCTCAGTTTGTGAAGCACAAAGAAGTGGATGTATTGAGACAATATGTAATAGTTTATCGGGGATATGGAGGGGGTCGAGGGGAGGGGACTTGCGGGGTAAACAATGAATGTGGGAGCACTAGAACTGATTGTGATGATGTACACACAACTCTTTTTAAAAGTGATTTAACCATGGAAGTGTACATGTGAATATTTTATCAAGAAAACCACTAAAAATAATAATAAGCCAAACTTGATCAATGGTTACCACGGGTAAAGGGGAAAGAGTTGTTGCTTAGGGGGAATTGAGTTTATGTTAATGATGGTAGAATAATTTGGAAAAGGATATCAACAATGGTTATACAACATGAAGAGTATAATCAATGTCACTGAATTATACATGTAGAAGTTGTGGAATTGGAGAATGCTTTGTCTATATTATTGCCACAATTAGAAAAAAATAATTACATAAATAACAGTGAGTACAAGGAAGAATATGTTCTAGAATTGAATGTGGTGATAATTATACAACTCTTCATGACTAAATTATTGAATTGTATGACATGTAGATGAAGTGCTAATAAAACTGCTTTCAAAAAAGAGTTGAAGGCAATAACAAGCAAATATTATATTTATGAGTAGATACTTAGACACACAGGCTGAACAGGTAGGAGAGGGAGAAAAGGAGTACACCCACAAATATATAGGTTATCTGTATGTGTATGTTTACATTGAGTGCAAATATATCCGGGAATGCGGTATACAACAGGCAAAATTAGAAATACTTATTAGATAGAATCAAACTCCTTGAGGGAATGAGTCACTGGGCCTAGGGGATCAGGGTCATAGTTGCAGGGAACACCAAGGCATAACATAGTTCACAAAGGCAATGTTCTACATCATACTTGGAGAGAGCAATCAGGGTCTTGAAAGCTCATGAGCAGCCATCTAAGGTGCAACTATTGGTCTCTCCATATTCAGAGAAAAGAAAAGATGAAAATTAAAAAGACAAGGAAACAACTAGTCCAATGGACATATGGACCACATAAACATCAGTCTCTAAAATTCTGAAACCTAACAAACTAGATGGTACCCAGCAAATTGTTCTGAAAATGATATCAAAAGGTCAGGATAATTGCTATTGTTGTTAGGTGCCATGAAGTCAGTCCCAACCCATAGACACCCGAGGCGCAACAGAATGACACACTGCTCCAGGTCCTGCACCATGCTCATCATTGTCCCTATTGTTGCAACCACTGGAGCAATCTACCTCCTTGAGGATCCTTCCTATTTTTTGCTGCCCCTCTACTTTACTAAGAATGATGTCCTTCTCCAAAGACTATTCTCTCCTGACAGCATCTCCAAAGTATGTAAGACAAAGTCTTGCCATTCTTACTTCTAAGGAGCACTCTGGCCATACATCTTCCAAGACAGATTGGTTTGTCTTTTTATCAGTCCATGGTACTCTCAATATTCTTAGCCAGAACCACAATTCAAATGCATCCATTCTTCTTTGGTCTTCTTTACTCAATGTCTAACTTTCACATGCATATGAGGCAACTGAAAATACCATGGCTTAGATCAAGTGCAGCTCAGTCCTCAAACTAACATGCTCTAAAGCAGG